GCTTTCGCCGCCGTGGCTCTCTCCTTCTTGGGGCCCGGCTGCTGGGAGGCGGCGGGAGGCGCGGGGCCGTGCACGGTCCTGCTGCGGCTCAGCCTGTACCTGAGCTGCGCGGCGGCCGCCTTCCTGCTGGGGACCCTCTTCGCCCTCGTTGGCTGGAGCCCTCGCGCCTCGCCGCCCGACTTCGTCGGCGCCTGGAGCCGGCTGGCCGCTGCCCCCGGCTGCCCGCTGCGGGTGAGTACCCCTCTCGGCTGCCTCACGCGCCCGCGGCCTCGGCCCGTTCGCCCGCTTCCGGTGCGAGCCTCCGGTTCTGCGAGACCCCGCGGGCCGCGGCGTGCCCTCCTCGCCCGCCCTGGGCCCCTCCTTGTAGCTGGAAACCCGAGAGGAGCGGGCGAGGTGTGTGGGCCCACGCGAGGCGGCTCCAGGCTCCGTGGGTTTGGAGGGGATGCAGGGCATTAGGTAGGCTCTGTAGTTACTCATCCACCATCCTCAGTCACAACCTCGGTCGCTGAACAGTCTTGCCGAATCCTTGATGTTGCTGTGCAGCAGGGGAGTTGGTGTGTTCCCTGGGAACCTGTACAGCTTTCGCTGTACCCAGGCACTGCACTCTACATTGGCTATCCTGTTTGTCTCTGGGAACCGGTTTTGTTGGGAGGTAGCTTTACAGTCATTTCCAGGTAAGGAAACTTTGTTAGATCACCCACCTACTACCTCACACCAAAGCCTGTATACACTTCCTACCACCCCGTTCTCTCTTCCACCATGTTGATAATTAGGAACAGGACAACAGGACAGCAGAAATCACTGTAGTTTGCAAAGAAAGACAAGTTATCCGCAGCGAGGTCTGGGACATTGGGGCTGTGATTAGGAAAAATAGCAAAGAACTGTATTTTAAATGAGCTTTTCTTGAGTTCCAAACCCACTATTTTCTCTACCTCTTATCTTTTTTTTTTTAATAATCCCTTAAAAGTAACCTTATTCTGTTGTAGCTTGATGTTCACTGATTGACTGAATGATACTATCATTAAACGGAAATTGCTCAAGCACTCTGGGGGGTCAGTGAAATGGCAGTGGCTAAATTTCATAAGAATGTTTATTAGAGTGACCATCATCCCCAGGGTTTGTATTTACTTATAACATGACCTGCTTACTCATATGTAAAAAAGCATCACACTCTCCTCCAAAATGACTCTTCCTAGAGTCTGTCAGTCAGAATGGTGTGCTGGAGTAATGACTGAAGGTTTGAAGACAAGGAAGGTATCAGGCATCCTTTCTCTGATGATTTGGTGTAGTAAAGGGTAGGAGACTCTTGGTTATGTAAGTAAGTAGTCCCTCAAATCGGTACTACTTAAAAATCTTCACCTAGCTGTCCATTTTTCCTTTCTCATGTAGCAAGAATTGGTGAACACATGTTTTCCTTTTTTTTTTCAATAGTGATGTTACCTGTTTGTTTATAGATCTATACTCAGTTCTTGAGTAGTGTGAGAAGTTATAATTCTTTCAGTACATATTTAATGAGCATCTTGTATGAACCAAATTCTACTGTATTCTGGAAGCTGGGGTTGAACTGATACAGAAAAGTTATTCTTTCTGGAAGTTATATTCCTGTGAAGGACCAGACAATAAATACATATTGTCATGTAATGATAAATGCTTATTAAACAAAGTGTGTAAATCAGCAGCTCACTGAGTCAGGAAGATGGCAAGTTCAAAGCCAGCCTCAGCAACTTGGTGAGACCCTGTCTCAAAATAAATAAAGGACTGGGGATCCAGCTCAGTGGTTGAGTGCCTCTGGGTTCAACCCCTGGTGTGTATACACACATACACTATTAAGAGATAAGTGATTAAGATCGAGGAGTACTGGGGGGAAAAGAAGTTTAAATGGTCAGATCAGGGTCAAAAGCTGAGGGTCTGGAAGCTTCATGTTGTGGAATACTACTATTTCCTACAAAATGCATTCTCCCACATTTTATAGCTCACTTATACCTCTATGTTGGTAAAATTTGATTATCATCTAGAAAGATGGTTTCATAGAAGAATTTTTAAAGAAAGTACTTTGCAGGTGACAGAAAATGAAGCAACAGGCATAGTATCTCCAGTATATGATGCCAAGATTTCAGATAATAGCAGAGGGAATTATAATCTAAGGAAAGTGATTATTGTTCATTCTTTTTGAACTTTTAATTCCTATAATAGATTTAATTAAGAAAATAAGCAATTAGGGAATTACTTTCAAAGTTATATATTACTGAGAATTGAAATGTATGTTATTCCCATGAAATTGTGTTTTCTTTATGGCTCTGGGACTAGTTACTTGAGCCTCTAGTTTGCTGTATTTGCAGTAACTTGTGTTTTTAAAAAATGTTCTCTTCTTTATGAATGGAAGGATGGGAAGCATAAGCATGTGGTGTAGTATAAGATATCCGTCAGTTATGTGGGGGTAGGAGCTGGACCACACAGGTCATTTAACATATGTGGAGGGGGAGACTGTTTAGCAGTGAACCAAATGGAGCTTCTTAGAATAACAGTGACTACTACAGAAATCTGGATTCTGCATACACAAAAAAAGAATCCTTTTTTTTCTTATACATGGTGAGTTTTTCCAGTCTGAGCTAGACATGCAGATACTGGGATCCATCCTTTTATCTACCCATATTCTCTCCACCTTTTTTTTCCTTCTTGGCTTCTTTCAGTAGAAGAAAAACACTTATACGGTTAAAAGCAGATAACTCCAGAAATCTAACCTGAAAGGGCAAAAATATTTTCATGACTAGAGGTGTTTGAAAGCTTTACCATATTGTTATCAGTTGTGAACTCCAAAAAGTCAGGACCTATAATTGGCACCTTTTGTTATCCTTTGCACCTAGTAGGAGCTCAGGGCTCCTCAAATGATTGCTGATGATAATGAAAAAAAAATGGCCTGTTTGTGTTCACTAATCTAATGCTTTTCTCTTCCAGTTAAACTAGTTTCAGACATTTCCCATGAATTTAAATTTACTTAGATGGGAACTACTATTGGTTAAAGTAATAAAAATAGCTTATATCCCAGATACAAATTGCATCCCAAATGTCCAATGGAATTTTCAGATACTCGCAATGCTTTTGTGTAAAGTTGTAATGTTGACACTGAAGTCTTGACTATTGATATCTGGACCCAACTTTAGAAAAACTTAGACTTTGATACAGGCCTGCAGACTGGAGCTGTGATTCTGGATTGCTAGCCATCTCCTAGTGTGACAGGTGTTAGCTCAACTTTGCTGAGTGGGCTGTCATAGTACAATGTTCCTAGTCCAAGGTTGTGTTTGGTATTCTGCAAGTCAGTTAACTTGCTTGGGTCAGATTCACTAGCCACAGTTACTTGACCCTGGCTTCTGATCTCACCAAAGCAAGAACAAGAGAAATAGGACAAGTATGAATTAATGGTTTAGGAACTTGATTGTTATTATGAGACTGGCAGTTCAAAGTACATCTTATAATGGAAAAGAGGGAACTATTTCTTACATTTCTATGATAAGAAGGTAAGAGAGAATAACTTCTTAGACAACTTTTCTGCCACTTAGTCTTTATTCTTTTACACAGTTTAGTAGATACTTTAACAATTATTACAAATTGACAGTTTATAGTTGTGTTTATTTTTAAGGTAAAAGGTGATCTTATTTTTGAATATACTGTGAAATAATTAAATCAAGCTATCTAGCATATTAATTCCTCAAACACTTAATAATTTTAATCTAGGTACTTTCTAACTTATACCTCTTAAGTTCAAACAAATAAGCAGTTAATTAATGAGGATTGGAGGGCTGACACAAGAATGTCCACAAAAGTTGAGTGATTAGTAGTATACAGGAAATTAAAGATCTTGGATATATGAAGAAAACATTAATGAAAGACTTCAAAGTTCAGCCAGATAGAAAAGTTCAAGAAGTTCATCAAATGTAATTAATAAACATTTACTGAATGTCTGCTACACATCTCACGTTCTGAACTTGTTAACTATTTTTTTTTTTCCTGTAGTTTCTGAGTGCCAGTGCCAGGCACATAGTAAACTCTAAGTAGGTAGATTTTGATGTGAACAAATTTAAGTATCCAGCTGACATTTTTAGATTTGAAATCTCAACCATCTACTTAGGGAGGGATAGAGTCTTTCTAAAGGGAACATTAAGAGCTTGAATATTTTTCTTTTATAAGTGCATGGTATGGTTTGTGGGGTTGAGGAGGATTCAGAGATGAACAAGAATACTCCTGTCTCTGCCCTCTTAGTCTGAGTAGATCAGAATGATAGAGAACCCTAGATAGGAAGGCAGATGTTTACAAAGACAGTAAAAACATTCACACAGCAATCAACTGCTCTAGTTGGCCTGGGGTAGACTTCTAGAATTCCTAAATGGGTTCTTTTACTAATACAAATGTTCTTTGAGTAAAACAAACTTAATTTAGTTACTTGAGGGGAAAAGGAAGAGAAACAGGAATTAGGAGTCTATACATAGCCTCTTTGTGGCTTTCCTTTTTTTATGCTAACATGCAAGCTAATCCTCAATAATTTGATAATGGGTAATGGCACAATGTATTTACTGTCTTCAGAATGTTTGTTAGTATTTTAACTAGAGGATTTAAGTGTGGTGACCAATGAGAAAAATGTGTTTTTTAGGAATATGGTGTTTAGAAAATCCCTTAAATCATAGGATTCTTCCTAATTCCTTGTGGTATAAGGGACATCGTACTTAAGACTCATACTATGCATAATTTTTAATTTTTATAGATAGTAATATAACATGATTGATAAAATCAAAGCATTTAGAAAGGTAAAATAATGAAAAAATTTCTTTTCCCTCTAGGCAGCCACTATTAATAGTTGCTGTTTATTCTTCCAGCACATACAAGCAAATATAAATATATATTCAAAAAGAAGTTTTTAATACCTATAATTTTTTTCAGTACTTGATTGAACAAAGGGGTGCCATACCATTAAGCTACATCTCCCAGCCAGTTTTTTGTTGTTGTTTTGAAACACAGTGTCCCTAAATTGCTGAGGTTGGCCTTGAACTTGTGATTTTCCTGCCTCAGACTCCTGAGTCATGGGGCACCTATCATCTCTTGATTTATAAACAGTGATTACACACAAAGGGAAGTTATTAATGTTTACTGTTTTCTGTTAGAAAGAAACTCTTCATTAAAGTTGGGGAATTAAAGACAACTTACATTAAGACAAAGCTATATATGAATAGTGATAACTT